AGACATAAGTCAGCTATCACGCCTCTGGGTTGCTTCCCTCACCCCAGGACTGGGTACTGTCTCCCTGTGGCCCACATGGCTGGGTCCAGAATATGCACCACCCCTTTGGTGTTGCCGTTGACTCCAGACAGCACGCTCCTCAGCTGGGGACACACAAAAGGTGGTGTGGTGGCTGGGGGAGGCTGATGCCGGGACCTCTGTCGGGCCTCCTGGAGCTCCCTGGGCACATTTGGATTTCAGGGCCCTGCGTGGCAGGTGTTGTGGGTCTCACCATGCCTAGGTACTGCCTCTTTGGGGACACTGTCAACACTGCCTCCCGGATGGAATCCACGGGGCTGCGTGAGTATCCTCAACTTCTGCCCTGCCCCCGGGGGAAGTCTTTCTCAGTAAACCCAAACTGGCCATGGGAAGCAGTACTCAGTCAGCATGTCCCCACCTGGTGGGAGCATACCGTAGGTGACAGCAAGGTCACAGTAGGAGAGGAAATGTGTTCTCTAACTTTCCCTGGAGTTTTTTATGATGATCTCATGGGAGAATTAGCAGAGAAGACCGTGATTCAAGAGGCAGGAAAGCTGAGTCCTCACCCTAGCTCTGCAACTGACTTGTCCAGTGTCCTTGAGCAGGCTCTGCCTGAAAGGCCTCGGTGTCCTCCTTTTACAGTGAGGTGACCGGTTTCCAGTTTGGGATTTTATTTGGCTGCATGCCAACCCTGTTGTGCTAGGTCAGCTCCAACACCACCATGACATCTCCAACATGTCAGGCCCTTACTTGGGGAGGACCTGCTCTGATGGCTTGGAGACGGCCACCCCAAACTGCCAGGTCTTAGGACCTTTGCCTCTGTGTGTGTAGAGGGTTCTGTATCGTCCTAAGGTAGCTCTGTGCGCACACTGTGTAACTGGGTGTGGTAGCCCCACAAGTAAACAGTGTTCCAGGGACCTCCCCTTCTAACGTTTCATCAACGTGATTTGTTTTTTCTTGGGGGCTCTTTTGCTGACCAGCTGTCTACGAGAGTGAGAGGTTTGGGAGAAAGAATCATGCTCATCATAGTTGTGTTGTGAGACTGACTGGGCCTAGAGTCGTGGCTCTTAGAGAGGTGGGTGCCACCAGGGACTGGTGGCTTGCTTTCTGCCTTTCTTCCCAGCATACAGAATCCACATCAGCCGAAGCACCGTCCAGACCCTGCTCAGCCTCGATGAAGGCTACATGATCGATGTCAGAGGCCAGACTGAACTGAAGGTGAGCGACTGCCCTGGGGACCGTTTCAGCCGGCCAGTTCGTGTGAGCTGGGCATAGAGGAGATCCTCTCTGCTCCCTAAATTTAGAATCAAGAAAGGTTTCTTCAGGGGCAGGGCAGAGAAGTGGTGGCTACTAGCAATCCACCTGTGTAGTGCTCTGGTGCCCAACACACATAACACACATAACACATATAACACACGTAACACACATACCACACATAACACATGTAACACACATAACACATATAGCACACATAACATATATAACACACATAACACACGTAACACACATAACACACATAGCACACATAACACATGTAACACACATAGCACACATAACACATATAACACATATAGCACACATAACACACATAACACATATAACACGCATAACATATATAACACACGTAACACATGTTAACACATAACACACACAACACACATAACACATATAACACATGTAACACATATAACACATGTAACACACATAGCACATATAGCACACATAACACACATGACACATATAACACATGTAACACACGTAACACATGTAACACATATAACACACATAGCACATATAACACACATAACATATATAACATTTATAACACACATAACATACACAGCCCTCAGAGCAGTTGTGAAATGAACAAATTACCCTAGCATCACATAGTTGAGGAGATTCAATTATGGTTCCAGAACTTTCTTTCCTTTACCCTCCTCCTCCTTTTTAGTGTGTGTGTGTGTGTGTGTGTGTGTGTGTGTGTGTGTGTGTGTGTGTGTTTAAGGAAGAAACAAACACATAGTGGGTATGTGTTTGTGCACATGTGTGTGGAGAGCAGAGGACAAGATGTGGGGATCAGTTCTCTCCTTCCACCATGAGGGTTTAGGGGATCAACTCAAGTCGCCAAGCTCAGCTACATGCACCCTTATCCACTGAGTCATTTCAAGCCTCCCCCAACCCCTTCTTCTTTTGAGTCAGGTCTTACTAGATAGCCCAAGGATTGCTCGCCTCAAACTTGCAGCAATCCTCCTGCCTCAGCCTCATGAGTGCAAGGATCACAGACCGCTCTAGGCTGCCCTAGAACCCACTTTCTTCCCAGTATCCATGGAAGCCAATAGAGTCGGGACACCAGACTGTCCCTGATAGGTGCCCTCTTCAGATGAAGCCCTGGCTGGCTGCTGTGTCCTCGAGCACACTGCTTCCAGGGTCTGCTATCAGAGACAGACAGACCTGCCATCTGCCTTATAGACAGAGGCCACCTGAAACTCACTGCTCAGTGCTGAGTGCCTGGGCCTGGAAGTCTAGCAGAGGCTGTGGAGTGCGTGAGGTCTGGGGCTGGAGGCCTCCTGATCGGTGGCATGTAGGTTTGGTTGTGGGACAGGCTGTTTCAACAGGCGATTGTCGTTTGCAGGTAGAGACCATCGGAGATGCCTACATGGTGGCATCTGGGCTCCCTCGGCGCAATGGGAGTCGGCACGCGGCTGAGATCGCCAACATGGCCCTGGACATACTTAGCTATGCGGGCAACTTCCGCATGAGGCATGCACCCGATGTGCCCATCCGCGTCAGGGCCGGTTTGCACTCAGGTAGGCAGAGGGCTGGAGGCCAGGGTCAG